ATCCCAGCTGCTTCAGAGTTCTGGGTTTGCAAGTTTGAGGACAACACGAGCAGCTTAACAAGACCATCGCAAAAGCTGGGGGAAGGTTTGGGACACAGCTCAGTCAGCAGAGTACTTGCCTGGCGAGCACAAAACACCAAATTGTCCATAGCATTATACATGTAAACCCAGTGTGGTGATGTCAGCCCCAAATCCCGGCACTCAGAGCTTCACAAGTTCAAGGTCATCCTGGGCTACTTTGGGCTATATGAAACCGTGGCTCAAAAAGAAAATAAAACCCCTAGAGAAATAACAGCGTGGTGTACTCGTCCGGCATGTATGAGAACTCACGTTCAATCCCTGCTGAAAGGACAAATCTAGATCAAAATAAAACACTGGTTTGTTTGTTTTTTTTAACTGCTAGAGATCAGACTGAGAGTTGCTCACGTCAGGCAAACATTCTACTCCTGAGCTACAGTTACAGCTCCAGCTCCCCAAGAAAATATTCTGGGTTTTTCTTTTCTTTGTTTAAAATTTACTATAGGGGTGGGGGGTGGGGCTAGGTCATAGGACGTCTTTTAGGACTTGATTCTCTGCTTCCAGTGTGGAATCTGAGGGTCAAACTCAGGCTGTCCGGTTTTGACAAGTGCCTTTACCCACCAAGCCGTCTTGCTGGGCCCAGTTTCTTCTTTCTTTCTTTTTTTTAAAGGTGGGATCTCATGCCACCCAGGTTGGCCTTGAACTCTCTTTTAGGAGAGGATTATGCTGAACCTTCAGCCTCTGTCCCTCAAGCACTTTTGGGCTAGAGTGTCTACCGTCACACCCACCTCCAAATTCCGTGCAAAATAATTGTTTTTTTGTTTTGTTTTGTTTTTTTGAGACAGGGTTTCTCTGTGTAGCTTTGCACCTTTCCTGGAACTCACTCTGTAGACCAGGCTGGCCTCGAACTCACAGAGATCCGCCTGCCTCTGCCTCCTGAGTACTGAGATTAAAGGCGTGCGCCACCACCGCTGCCGCCACCACCACATACAAAATAAGCTTAGCTGGGTAAAGCTCATGTAGAAAAAAATCTCTTAATTGCATTTTTAAGTTGTTTAGTATTTATTTATTGAATGTGTGAGCACGTGTGTGCCACGGTGTACATGTGGAGGAGGTAAAAAGGCAAATTGCAGGAATGGGTTTTCTTTCTACCATGTGAGTCCTGGGGGACTGAAGTCAGGCTCTTAGGCCTGGTGCCAAGCACCTCTGTCTGCTGAGCTGTCTTGCCAGCCCTAAGGGAAGAATATCTGTGGCTACGATGATTATGGAGCTGTTATTTATTATGGAGCATTAATTATTTGTCTGTCTGTTTGGAGCTTTTAAAAACATGTATGTATTCTGTACTTAGGTGTGTGCGTGCGCCTGTGTGAGTTTAGGTGCACCCAAATGTGCAGGGGCCCCTGGAACCCAAAGAGGGTGTCAGATTCCTTGGAGCTGGAGTGGCAGACAGTTGTGAGCTGCCTTGTGGGTGCTGGGAATTGAACCTGGGTCTTTGCAGAGCAGCCACTGCTCTTAGCCACTGAGCCGTCTCTCCAGCTCCCTGGTTTTGGCTTTTTGACACAGGGTCTGGGTAGCTCAAATTGGTCTTGAGTTCATGGGTCCTCCTGCCTCAGTCTCCTAGGTGCTGGAATTCCACACATATATGTGTGCCATCCTCCCCAGCTTTCTCCTTCTTTCCCTTGGGAGCCAGAGTCTCATTCCGTAGCCCTGGCATCCAGAATGACACTGAACTCACAGAGATCCTCCTGCCTCTGCCTTCCCAGTGCTGGGATTAAAGGTGTGCGCCACCTCAGCCTGCACAGCTTTTTTGTTTTAAGCATTTCTTTAACACCAGGAATAAGGACCCTTGCAATGAGCTCCCAGTCTCCACAAAACAAAGTGACAGATACCGTCTATAAATTAAATAAAAATGTCATATTCTTTGCAGGTGTTTTATGTTTTATTTAAAAAAAAAAAAAGAAAAGAAAAGAAAGAGAAGAAAGAAAGAAAGTCAAACCCAAATAGCTCACAGAGTGATTATGGGGTTAAACAACTAATAGGAAAATCATGTAGGAAGGAAAAAATATTGACACCCTTGAGATGGGAGTTATCTCTGAGAGAAGAAAAATAAATCACATCAGAGAAGGGCCTGATGTGGCTTTAAAGCTACTAAAATCATTAATTTCTATTTTTTGTTTGATTTTGATTTCTTTTCTTCCCTCTGTCTTTGAAACAGGGTCTCACCGTGTAGCTCTGGCTAACCTAGAAGTTGATATGTAGACCAGGCTAGCCTCCCAAGTTCTGGGATTAAAAGTGTACACCACCAGGAAGGCTGTGACTACTTCTTTTTTTATGAAGAAAAGTGTTCCTTTTTTGTCCTGAAAATTCCCAGACTGATTTTAGGTATTCGCTTATTTATATGAAGTAACTGCTTATTTTCTCTTGCTATAACAAAATACCTGAAGCTGAGTGTTTATAAAGAGAAGAGTGGGGCTGGAGAGATGACTCAGTGGTTAAGAGCACTGGCTGCTCTTCTGGAGGACCCGGGTTCAATTCCCAGAACCCACATGATGGCCCACAACTGTCTGTGACTCTAGTTTCAGAGGATCCTGACACCCTCACACAGATGTACACGCAGGCAAACACCAATGCACATAAAATAAAAACAAATAAAAAATTAAATTAAAAAAAGAGAGAGAGAGAGAGGTGGGACCAGTGAGCTGGTTCTGCAGGTGGAGGAGCTTGCTGCCAAGCCCGAACCACCTGAGTTTGATCCCTGGCTCCCCTGTGTTGAAGAAGAGAACAGACTCTCCCAAGTTGTCTTCTCCAGGTGTGTGCCATGGCACATGTGCACACACACACACGCACACACACGCACACGCACACGCACGCACTAAACAACTAAATGTAAAGACTTGAAGTTTAGACAGAAGGGAAGTGTCTGGAGGACGCTCTTGCTTTGGTTAGGCCTCACTGTGCAGCCTGAGCTGACCACAAAGCTACCGTAATTGTCCTGTGTCCGCCTCCCCAGTGCTGAGACGACAGACATGGGCTAGCTACCATGTTGGGCTACAGAAGAGGTTGTCTTAGCTTTGCTTTGGAGGTTGGAAGTCCCAGAGCAGGTGGTCCCATCTGTTCACCCTCTGGGAGGCCCTTGGGTTGGGTCACAGGGTGGCAGAGAATTGGGAACGGAGGATGCCACCATGCTATCCCTGGTGGCATGTGCTGACTCCCTTCTTCTGAAGGGGAGGAAAGAAAGAGCAGGAACTGCTGTGCTCAAAAAGGCCAGGCACGGGATGGTCCTTCCGCACAGACCCAAAGGGGTTGGGGGTGGCTCTGTAAGACACCCTGCACTCTCCCCTACAAGAACCTGCTCTCTCTATCTCTGTCTCTCTCTGTGTGTCTCTATTTATTGAAGATTTTATTTTATGTATGTCCATGTGTGTGCATATGTGAGCGTTGGTGCCTCTGGAAGCCAGAGAGGGCATCAGGTCGCCTGACGCTGGAGTCGCAGGGGCCTGTGAGCCACCTGACAGACTGGTCCTCTGCAAGAAATCAAACCCTTAACTGCTGAGCATCACTTTCCAATCCCAAACAGCCCAGTCTTGAGAGAACCGGCCAGGGCCCCTGGAGAGCACCAATCAATCCCTTCCAAGGGAAACCTCCCTGCCAGGGACCTAATTACTTCCCCTAGGCCGATCTTCAAGGTTCTACCACTTCCCACCCCAGCCACTCCAGGCCCAGCACACACATCTCTGTGGGCACACCCTAGCCTATCCAAACTATAATTTACCGTGTTTGTTGGCCGGGCTAGGGTGTGGACTCAGATCCTCACCCATCTTAGGCAAGAGCCCCACCACCGAGGTACATCCCCTGCCCTTATACCCTTTTTTGATTTGGTTTTAAGACAGGGTTTGGGGTGTAATGGCATACTCTTGTAATCCCAGCACCTGGGAGGTAGAAGCAGGAAAATCAGGAGTTCAAAGTTGACCTTGGCTACATAGCAAGTTTTGAGACTAGCCTGGGTTACATGAAACCCTGTCAAAAAAAAAAAAAAAAAAAAAGGCCAAGGTCCCACTGTTTAGTCCAGGCCTCTTCAGTGCTGGCATTATACACAGGTAAGGTACTTAGCCTTATAAAGCATTTATACTTAGCCACATAAAGCATTTACTTTATTTTATTTTATTTATTTTGGGTTTTTGAGACAGGGTTTCTCTGTATAGTTTTGGTGCTTGTCCTGGATCTCACTCTGTAGACCAGGCTGGCCTGGAACTCACAGAGATCCACCTGCCTCTGCCTCCCGAGTGTTAGGATTAAAGGCGTGTGCCACCACCACCCAGCCTTTTTTTTTTAATTAATTTAAAAACGGATTACATTTTAAAATTTTGCCTTGTGTACATGTGTAGTGCACACGTCACAGGACAACTTTATGTAGTCGGTTCCTCTCCTTTCACCTCTGCGGGGTTCTGGAGACAGCTCAGCCTTTAGACTTGCTGTGACAGCTTCAACTGCTGTGTCCCCGTCAATAATTAAAAGAAGACAATGATGAATACAGCTGGCACTCGGGAAGCAGAGGCAGGAGGATCTCTGTGAGTTCCAGACCCGTGGTCTACGTAGTGAGCCCAAGTCTCAGCAAAGAAAGAGTGCATACCCAGACTGAGCTGCATAGGGAGTTCAAGGTCAGCCTGGGGTACGTAGCCAGAAAATCTCCAGATCCAAGAGACCAACAGATAGCTAATCCCAGCACTCAGGAGGCAGAGGCAGGAGGATCTCTGTGAGTCTGAGGTCAGCCTGGTCTACAGAGTGAGTTCCAGGACAGCCAGGGCTACACAGAAAGAAAGAAAAAGAAAAAAAAAAGACCAACAAACAAACAAAACCGGATAAAAACCATTACTACCCCCTCCTTTGACTAAGTCCATGTTAGACATGATTAATCCATCCCCAAACCCCTCTTTCCAGTGATGCGGACTGGGCGGTGAGCGGGTGTGACCTGTTTTCTCCAGCAGATACTGGGGGCCATGGAGTCTCAGGTTGGGGGGGGGCCGGCCGGCCCGGCCCTGCCCAACGGGCCACTCCTTGGGACAAACGGAGCCACTGACGACAGCAAGACCAACCTCATCGTCAACTACCTACCCCAGAACATGACACAGGACGAGTTCAAGAGTCTCTTCGGCAGCATCGGGGACATCGAATCCTGCAAGTTGGTCCGGGACAAGATCACAGGTGTGTGGCCTCGGGTGGCAAGCAGGGAGGAAGCGCCATGGAAAAACAAGTGTGACCTGGGTGGGTATCTCGGGATGGATGGCGCCAAGTGGCTCTCTGGGGAACACACTGTCATGGGGACAAAGCTGGAGCGTGGCAAGTGTGTTGGGGACACTGGGCAGGCTAGGGAAGTCACTCTTGTGGTCCTCCCACAGGGCAGAGCCTGGGGTATGGGTTTGTGAACTATTCTGACCCCAATGATGCAGACAAAGCCATCAACACCCTCAACGGCCTCAAACTGCAGACAAAGACCATCAAGGTGAGTGTCCCCCTCTGAGTGAGTCCTGCCATCATCTCTGCTCCTGAATGAAGCTTTGGTTCTCTTGGTTCCTTACTGGTCACGTGGCTTTATTTTTCTGAGCCTCTTCCCTCACCCATCAATGTGAGAGATAACTGTATTTTTATTTTACTATTCTGTGCATATGTGTGCATGGGCACACGTGTGCCACTGTGTGTGTGAAGACTAGAGAAAAGTGTGGGAATTGGTTTTCTCCTTTCACCATGTGGGTCCCAGGGATCCAGATCAGATGGTCAGCCTTGGCACCAACTGCCTTTACCAACTTAGCCATTCCTCCTGGATGGAGACATACTACCAACATTAAGTCCCATGTTCTTGGAAGACTTAGGGAATCTGCCAGGCCCAGGAGATAGGACAGAGTGACCAGGACCCCACGGGCAGACCCCTTCCCTGTCTTTGTCCTGGAAGAGGGGGTGGGGCCCATCTGCCATCTGGAATCTAATTAGGGACCCGGGAGGGGGCGGGATGCAGCGTCCCCTCCCCCACCTTTGTGCATTGCCCCTCCCCCATGGCCTCCCTTCTCAGCAGCTGCAGCTGGGACCATGTGAGCCCAAGTTCCCTTGGGAAGAATCACCATGGAAACCCCCCTCTCTGAGTTGGCCTGGGGGTGTTTGGGCTCCTCCCTTCAAATCTGCTCCAGGACCCCTGGGGAGGCCAGGCTGAGGGTGCCCATCTGGCCCCCAATTTATCATGGGAAAAGAAGTATAGGAATCTTTTCCTCTCCCCAGAGTGGGGGAAGGGGAAAATGGTATGAATCTTTCTGTGGTCAGCTTGATCCAGAAGCCCCAGGGGCATGAGGTGGACCCCAGTGACTGTAAGTAGACCTGCAGGTGTGTGCAAGGCAGTGGATAAGTGACTCTGCAGTTGTGGGACACAGTGTCTATGCAGGTGACTGTTGTGAGGTGGGTCTGGATAATTAAGGCTTGAGGTGTAGGGCTGGGAGTGTGGCTCAATGGTAGAGTGCTTACCCGGCCTGTAGAGTTCCAGCTACAGCACAGACATGAACAAATGAATGATTGGGGCCGGAGCCTGGAGAGAGAGCTCAGTTGTCTGAGTTCCAGCTACAGCACAGACATGAACAAATGAATGAGTGGGGGCGGAGCCTGGAGAGAGAGCTCAGTTGTTTTTACTGCTTTGAAGACCTAAGTTTGATTCCCCAGAACCCCAACAAACAAGCTAGGCATAGTGGCACATAACTTTAATCCCAGGACTCAGGAGGTAGAAGCAGGCAGGTCTTTGTGGGCCAGCCTGGACTGTACAGCAAGTTCCAGCTCAACCAGAGCTATACAGTAAGACCCTGTCAAAAAAAAAAAAAAGAAAAGAAAAAGAAAAAATAAATAAAGGCAGGTTTGGTGGCCTTTGCCTGTAACCTTAATGCTGGAGCGAGGCAGTGAGGTCCCTGGCACTCTATCTCAAAAGTGGACAGTTCCTAATGACTCTTTTTTTTAAAGATGTATTTATTTATTATGTATACAGTGTTCTGCTGGCGTGTGTGCCTGCCCACCAGAAGTGAACACCAGATCTCATTACAGATGGTTGTGAGCCACCATGTGGTGCTGGGAATTGAACTCAGGACCCCTGGAAGAGCAGCCAGTGCTCCTAACCTCTGAGCCATCTCTCCAGCTCCCTTCTAATGACTCTTAAGGTTGACCCCTGGCCTACACAGGCACGCATACTCATGGATAAGATTGAGGGCTCAGTTTCTGCAAGTATCACCCACCCTGCATGCATGAAGGCCCTGGTTGGTTCTCCAGCGCCACACACACTGGGCCTGGTGGCACACGCCTGTGATCCCGGCATTCCAGACTTGGCAGCAAGAAGATCAGGAGTTCAGGAGAATTGCTGGTTTCACGGCAAGCCTGGGCTACACGAGACCATCTCAAAAGACAAACAGCAACAGACAGAATGACTCGAGTGTGTAGAACCTGGTGTCAGTGTGACATGTGCTTTGTGACATGACGGTTCCTATTGTGGCTTCCAGGGTGCACTAGGGGGTAAGTCTGTGGCAGCAAGACGTTTGTGTGGCTTGGTGTGTTAGGTGTGTGTGTCCGGCCAGTGCCGGGTTTGTGGGCTGTGCTGTGGGGCTGTGCATGGTTAGCACCCGATGGTTTTCTTACTGTTGTTCTGGAGGACCCGATATTATGAGCATGGAGTGTGTGGAGAGTGTCCTTTCCAGGTGCCTCAGTTGGTCTAAACCTCTTCCAGGCAGCTCGCCTGGTTTCTGCTTCTCCCAGGCAGCTGGTCTGGCCCCAGGGTCTTCTTTGCAGCTCTGTTCTGAAAGTCTCAGAGGATCGCTCAGCTTTTATTGCTTTCTCTAGCAGGAAGAGGCCTGCTGAATCTGGTCAGTTTCAGGAACTTCCTGATGCTAGTTTGAGTTATTTACCTTCCCGCTTAAAGAGCTTCCCGCAGGATGGAATATTTCAATCTCGGAAGAAACTGTTACAAAGTACTCCACCTCTTCCTCCCGCTCTTCCATTCTTTCTGTTCCCTTTCCCCGATGATCTCTGAGCCTTGGTGGGGTGACTGTAGGTGTCCACCTGTGGCGAAGAACTAGGCCACCATGCATGCCACTGTAACAGTCCCTTGTCGTTATGAGTTGAGGGTGACAACAGTGATCTATGGGTGTAAACGCACATGTTTAGAAGGCGTGTGACAGGCACACCACATCCACCTAGAAAAACCATTCAAGTCACCTCCCCACTGGGACCTAGGACCTCCGCAGCCACAGGCTTTTGTCTGGTTTACAGTACCAGATGTGAACTCTGTCTGTGGAGTGGGGCTTAAATCCAGGTGAACTGGTCTTAGTCATAATGGCTGAGCAACTCTTGCACAATCAGGCACAGCCCTGCCTGGCATGCCAGTATTTCAGGCCACAGGGTCCACATCCACGCAGGATGTTGGGGACAGCAGCCTGCATGAGCCCTCTGCCACTACCAAAGCCAGAGAGCAGGATGGGAGTTTCCAGCTCAGTCCCAGCTTAGCGTCTCCATGTCCTACAGTCAGAGCGTGTGCGTGCGTGTGCGCGTGCGGTGTCTTCAGCAACAGGGTGTCACCGTTTAGTCCTGGCCTACAACCAACAGTGGGAGCAAAGGCTTTACCGTTTGTGGGACCTCACTGGCCAACAACTACAGTGAGGTAGCCCACCCCTGGCACTGAGGTTTCATTCAGTAACCTTATGGCCTCTGGGAGTGTCCTTCAGGATTTTTTTCTTTCAATTAACCCAGCCCCATAGGGTTGTGAGGTTAGTAGCCATTGCACCTGTCTGTCTGTCTGTCTGTCTGATGCCTTTCCAAATCTGCAAAGCCCTCAGAGGTTGGCACCATGCCACCTGTATAACAAAGCCTTTTCCAGAAACCACGCAGGACAAGGCAACGTCCCGAACCCCCATCCCATAACAAAGAGTGGGGTGACAAAGACAACCTTGGTGAAACACTCTGAGTGTGTTCCCACCTGTTCTCATCAAGTGTCAGGTGATCTCAGAAGTTCACACCTAGGAAGATACTGAAGTCAACACAATCAAGGTCTCATGCAGCACCAGAAGGTTCCATCCATTTGTCAGCTGCTTCCTCCACAGATCAAGGATGGCACACAGCATGGATAGGAGGCGCTAACTTAATTAGCTCTCTGTCACCCTCAGTCCTTCTCTCTGAGCCATTACGTTTCCATATCCCAGAGTTCTTCACGGAGCCTCCCTACATCTCTCCACCCTGACCAAGTCAGTGGGCCTGACTCAATCTGCTCAGACCTACTCAGGGCCAAAAGTGAATGTGGCCCAGCTTTCCCTTTGCACCCACAGGCTCCCTGGGTCAGACAGGCCCTGGGTTGGCAGGGTGGCTGTTGCCTCCCCATTCACCATAGCTGGCTGTTCAGTGAGTCCTGACTGGGCAAACCATCTCTACCCTAACAGAACCTTTTGCTGGAGAGAAATGCACACTCCTTAGTCTGGGGGGATAATTACCCACCCCTAGGACAGGCTTGATTGTCTTCCCCTGTGTTGTTCCATCATGATTGTCTTCTGTGAACTGCTCCTCAGGCTTTACAGACTTCCGGAAGCTCCTCAGCACACAATTTGGCTTTCTGTCAGTCTTTTGCTTAGGAACTTCAGCTTGCCACAATCTTGCCACGTGTCTCTGAGTAACCCAGACAGACCTCTTCCTCGGCTTTACGTTTTGACGGTCTCCTCATGGTTGTTTTTACTTTATGAACTTCCTTTACATGCTGGTCTAAGTCACTGAGATCTGCCAAAGCCTTTCCTACTTTATCCAGCTCTTACCCCGCCAAAGCGCTCAGCAAGGCCACTAAAGCTCCACACCGGCCTCGAGGTCCCAGCTGGATCAACGTTTCCCTTACTCTTCTGTGATCACACTTCGATCTGACCCAGTGAACTGGGGTTCCTACACAGCTTCTCTTACTCCTACCTCAGGAGTGGCTTTCCTCCTCTGTTACCCGCCATTCCCCAACATTCATGACGACCCTGGACGGAGATGGTTTACACTGTGTCAGGGTATGCAGCGTCTGCCTAAAGGAGGTGTGGGAAGCCACATTACTCAGCCTTCTGCCTCCACAGCAGTCCGACTGATCCCATCCACTCCCGTGTCCCACAGCCTCACAAAGCCAGGCCGTGACGGGCTCTCCCACCGCTTCAGTGTTCTCCCTGACATCAGACGTTCAAACGCCGAGTGTTCCAATCACACTAGTTTCTCTACTGGATCACTGAAGGCCCCAGCTGGACATCAGATCACAGATTTCCCATTCCTACTAAAGGTTGGACTTGCAGGGTGTCGTCTATCGCTTTTACCTCCTCTCTCTCTCGTCCCCCTTTATCTAATTTACTTGCCAGATCCGAGGCTAACACGGAAGATGCTGCCATTTCTTCCCTTCCCTGTTGCGGTTGCTTTTCTACACAGACGAGGGCCTGCTAGGCCCCCATCTCAGTCTCAGATGTATTTCGAACTACACAC